GGGTACCATTGGGGAGGTTCAGTCCTACTTGATCATCGTCATCTGGGCTTGCAGGAGATGTGGGCGAGTACACTGGTGACGCCTCCGCATCTGGTGACGCATTGCCAGTTAGGTTCACAGTCTCCGTGTCACTTCCCGCACACAACGACACTCCAGTAGTCAGACCTTGAGCACCACTCTCATCTTGAACGACTTGCACACGACGTACAGAGCCAACGAGTGAAGCAGGTGGCTTCCTGTTTTGCTTCTTCTCTGCAAGCTTCCTCGCTAGTTCTGCCTTGAGTGGTTTGCCTGTCTGCTCCGTGCATTCAGCGTACCAGTGACCGTCACCATTGCAGTTGGCGCACCGGGTACGCTGCTTCTTTTCGGCCACAGCCTTCATTCGCTTGCGTTGCAGCTTGCCGCGCTTGCGATTGTTGCCATTACCCCTACTTGCACCTTGACCACCAGCGACATGGGCCACCTGCATAGGGCGTGCCACAGCAGTAGCCGGCCTCGACTGTAGCTCGATCTGGTTGCGCTGGTGTTCAGCCGACCGGAGACGCTGCAACGCCTCTGTCAGCTTCAATGATTTGCGATCATTACTGTTAATCCAGTTTGCGTGTTCTCGAGCAAGGTCACGAAACACCAACACGACATTCGACAACAGCAAGCTGGCGTGCTGCCATTCCTCAAACTCGCCCTTGGCCTGACGCAGCATCGTCACCTTGCGCTCGATGTCGTCGACGTACACCGTTACAGACTCGTTCGTCTGCAACATCCTTGTCATGAGATCTCGCATCAGGTAATCAGGATTGATTCCGTCGCCAGCCTCGAAGTGCTTGGTAACGTAGGTCCATAGGATAGACGCAGCCTCCATGTTGTCCCTCATCTCATCGATCTTGAATGTGGACCTCAAGTCCACTGACAGCGACAGTGCGAGTGCAGAGAATGCCTTGTTCTTTCGTGCGCAGTACCATTCGTTGTACTTGGGTCTCTGGTACCCGAGCGCAGCGTCAAAGCGCTCACCACCGTACGTAATGGCACCGAGTGTGCGTGGCTCGAAGTGTAGCGGCACTTCGCTGCGCCACGCCTTGTAGTCGGCCTTGGTCACGAGGTTGGGCAGCAGGATATCCGGGGAGTTCCGTAGTGCCTTGGTGTACTCCGCCAGCTCCTTGTCGTCGTATCTCCCGCCGGGGAAGGTGTTGTCCATGCCCGCTTCCTCACGCCAGTTCTCGCTTGCTCCACAGACGTCGCGCTGTTCCTCTGTCTGGGGCTGCCATTGGTTTGAGACTTCTGCAGAATGAAAATATTGCATACCTTCAAGCAACCTTCGGATGAAAGGTTGCCCATCCGTACTTTGGACCAATGATCGAATGAAATGCTCAATCTCGTTGTGCGACAGTGGTGTGTCACCACCCACAGTAGCATTTCCAGCCAATCCTTGCGATCCTTGGCTTCGATTCGACGAAACTTCCGCTTGGTCTCTCAAATCGTTGTTGTTCACACCAGCTGACACATCAGCCGAGTTCTGCGCCCTGATTGGGCTCATAGCCTGAGGTGACGCAGGGCGCGTCACCGGGCTGCTCTCAAGCTGTCTATCGCTTCTTAGAGTAGGTGCCATGAGGCAACTGACACTATAGTAGCAGTAGAAGTAAGAGCAGGTAGAAGAAGTACGTTTAACACAGTAAGGGCCGCGGCAAAGCTCGACAGGACCGTGGCGCTCTGGTGTGGGGCAGTTGCTTGCTGCAGATAGCAAAAGCCGAAGTGATGCACTGCCACACACCCGAGCGCCAGCGTTCCGCAAAGTAGATTAGTTCATAGTATCTTCAAGTAAGTCTATAGTAGACATCAATAAGATGCCGTCCACTGCGACAACACCTGTGCAGTGGCTCACTGCCAACCATGTCTCGATGCATACAAACATCAGTATGTTTGTACTCGGTCCCGCTGCAGTCGCGAAGCCGCAGTGAAGCACAGGTGCATATGATTGAGAGCAGGATCAGGACTTGTACCGTAGCATGTATCGTAGGGACTTCAACTCACATAATCGGTAGACTTGGCGTCCTTATCTTCGAGGCGGCGACGGTAGTAGCGCGAGTGGTCCTTCTTGTCGTGGTGGTGGTGTTTCTTGCGGTCGTGGTCGTGCTTGTGCTGGCTGTGGCCGTATTCCTTGTAAGACCCGAGTTGACGACGTGGGTGCATTCTATTAGCAGCGTCAGTCGCATGCAGAATAGAAGCAGCGACACACAGGCCCACGATGGCGAGAAATTTGGAGTGCATCTTGTTAGGCAGCTGCAAAACTAGCTGATGGAGCTGGAGGTTGGTTGTCGAGTGTCAGGGGAGGAAGCGAGATTACAAGTGAGAGAGCAAGAAGGCTAGTCCGATCGAGCTGCGGTCTGGGTGTTGATGTTGCATCAGCCATCGTGGTCACCCCTCGTCGTGGCATTGTCTTTCTTCGCTCGCTGTGATTGATCGAGAAGACGATGAGAGAGAAGCGTTGAGAGAATGAGTCGAGTCAACAATAAGTGATAGACTGCAAACTGTAGTTATGCAGACATCACGGTCTAGGAGAAGTATATTAGACGTATTTTGAGAATGCAAGATCACACGAATACTTACACAATCTAATACTTCGAGGTACTATTATTGCAGCAAGAAAAAGCAACAGCGGCCACTTGTATTACTTTGTCAGCAAATTGTTGGACTACTACTTCAAAACAGTTTCAATTCCTTCAGTGACTTCCACTACTACTACTACTACTACTACTACTACGACGACGACGACTACTGCCACTACTTCCACTACTACTACGGCTTCTGCCATTACTACTACTAATACTACTACTACTACTACTACGACTACTACTACTACTACTGCCACTACTACTACTACTACTACTACTACTACTACTACTACGGCTACTGCTACTGCCACTACTACTACTTCTACTACTACGGATACTGCTACTGCCACTACTACTACTACTAGGGATACTCAAACAAGGGCAACTTGTCGATAGGCTACCTCACCACTGCCGTACACGACTCCACTAGCAGAGCACTGCATAAGGAATGAATGCACTGATGAGTCTTCTTGTTGATGGCACAAGGTTTGTTTTGCAAACTCATGCAGATTGACAGTGATTGCACGTCCGCGTGCTGTAATTCTTGGTTTCTGCTCTATATCGTTAGATTCTACTCTACCGCTGCTGCAATCGGAGCATTGATCCACATCGCAAACGACTTTAGCAGCTGATAATTCGGGGACACATGTCACTTCAACATGGTAAAGCGATCACATCCATTGGCATTGTATTCCTTACACCTGTCACTGAAT